ATGGGTCAGTCGAAATTACTAAGCTTTAGGCATACAAAAATCCTTGGCTATCTCTCGTCTACATAAATGACAGACTTTATCAGAACTCGAGGTTTCTAAGGCTAAATAGGCAGCATGATCATGACTTTAATAAAATCAACAATAATAATGAGCAAACTAGGCTGTAGGAAAGATTTAGCGTACATTTTGGCAGAATATTAGAACAAGTTTTAATGAGGCGTTGCATGTAGCTGTCTAGAATCTTGCAACTGTGCCTTAGGATTATTTGTCCCGACTCCCCACGGCAGCTGTTAACTCGCCCTCTTACGGAGAAACACCGTCTTTTGACCAGCCCGATGTACCAGCAGTATTGTGTCAACACACTTGTGCATCGTAATTCACAGGGGAGCTGGGGAACTAGTGAGGCTGGGTTTGCAAACACATTCACATAGATACATCCCCAAATGTGCACATGCAGACTCACAAATCTGGATGCCACAAAGGAGACGATACAATTCAATTTGGCCGTTGTTTATTCGGCTAGAAGCAACATGAGAGAAATGTAGACAAGTGTATTAGAAATTAAAATTAACGGCCAGCAAAGAGGAGTTGAAAGAGATTGCTGAGATTGGATTGCGATTAAAGGTTGTCAGGAGCCAATATACCTTGATTCACAGACTGGTTTAACACATAAGGGTAGGAAAGAGGATAAATGTAAGATTTGGGTACAAAGTAGTTTCCGACCATTTTCAGAGTGTATTCGCCAATCATATTCTTTAAACATATCAATTATTTCATACATGTATCACAATTCAAAAGAGTCTCGAGTATATACATGACACTAGCATCATTGGATACCAACTAGATAGAGTAGATCTTCTCGTAAGCCTAGATGAATGTCTTTAAAATATTAACCTCAAAAGCGGATCCAATTGTGTTCATGGCCTTATGGCCCTCCTATTTGGATTCAAGGTATGAAACTAACTGCTACGAGTGACTTTAGATTAAAAGTGAAAGTGTATCTTGTATTGCTTAATGCTTCAACAGCAATAGTTATGAATTGTAACCTATCGGCTGCTTTGTAGTTCATTGAAACCTTGTTGAAAGCCAAAATTAAGTGCATTTCCGATCTCATTTAGCCTGGGTCTGTCGCCATGGCTAGGTTTGATCTAAGCCGATGATTCGCAAATACTTCAATTACATTATCCAACATGCTTATCACCGATGCGTTGCAGAACATGCCTGCGTCCTGAGAAAATGTTTGTCTTTTTCCACTTACCCTCTGCCGTACGGTTATATAAAGGAAATTAAAGGGTAAACACTCCCATGAATTTGTTCAAACATGAAGCCTCATAGTGACTTGTTAGAGTATGGAAATCATGCCTAAACCACTGCTAAAATGATCAGTTTATGGGCGAATGAAAAGATAATTCTGCTCCTTGATTTACGCACTCTACAGCGCCCATGACAAATCCTTACTTATAAATGTAGAATCTTCAAATGATACAAAATGATTTATTCATGATCCTTGGTCCAGTTTATAAATTTTGGTATCATTTCCTATAAATACTAGTAACTTTATGGGCTTGATCACACCAGAAAACACATGTGGATTTATGGTGCTCTACAGTCTTTTGATGTTATACTCTGAATTTCAAGTCCACAAGGCATTCTGTTATGGTTTCAGTCAGAATGGGGTAAACTTTCTTCTCCTTCTTCACTTGATAGACATATTCAGAATTAGAACTCATTCTTCAAGATACTGCTGAATCATGAAGAATAACTTGCCATTCCTTCCATGCAATATGCACATAAAATAACAATAGAAAAAGCAACAATAATAATGAAAGAATGAGTGAAAGAAGACGTAATGTCAATCCACGTATTTGTGTGATTGGTACGCGAGTAGATAGGCGCAAATCTCCTCAACAGACTAGTTTGTATGCAAGTTAAACCATCTCAACAATATTATTTTTGGAGAGTAATTGCTCTGCGTTTAAATGGCAGGCGAAACAGAACGAAATTGTGCTCAGATTTGGGCTTTAATAGCCTTTAATCGGAATTTAAATGAAGAAATGCTAATGTTAAGAAGGCAAAGGCGTTCCGGACTCATTCTTTATCTGATCACCGCAGATTAAAACTAGAAAGCAGGCAAAATATCTCAGAATGCGTCTATTTGTCGACCCAAAGTCCAAGAAAAAAAAGAACATTCATACATTTATAGCGAGTAGGTTTTGATACTGATGGGAATAGATCCCATGATAAGATTACAGTTGACCTAATTAGATCGTAGATATGAAGACCAAAATGGAATGACCTTGTGTTTGGTTTCAGTACCCTTAAGATATATAGTGTTGATTTGACCTCGTTTACGAGGTCCTGCAGAGTAGAGAGAAATGGTTGAGGGGTAAAATGCAGTAAAATTCAATTGCATCAATCTATCCGAATGATGCCTTCGCAACAAATGTGCGCTTTCGGTGCCCAACCTCTCCAGGTCTCGCCAACACCACTGGGGCGTACTCGAACTGGTCAACCCAAATCTCGACCCTCTGAAGGTCACAGTTGCAGGGCGGTAGAAGTAACCTCGCAATTCGAGCGTAGGTGTGAAGACCAAGATGGTGTGGCGCTGGGTTTCTTTGCAATTTTTTCACAACTTGGCGAGCTTTTCTCTGGACTGTAACTATAACACAACCGTCCTGCCAATGCGTATCTGCTTGTATGAATTCCCTTCATACAACCGGCTTTCATTATATTCATTCTTCCTCTCGTTTTTCCATCACTTTTGGAAGCAAAGTCTCCATGGCCACGTCTGCCCCTTTCACAACGGCTGCGGAGCCCTTCCTAGTCGAGTCGCTATCGCAATTCACCCTGACTTCTCATCTTCGGCCCGAGCCCGCCTACCTCCAGCTTGACCCATCCCAGTGCCAAGAGCCTATGCTAGGCACACTTGCACAGCAACTAGTTGCCGATGAGACTCCAGCAAACCTGTCAACAAGTCACTTTCGGATTGACCACTCGGAGGGCAGATATTGCCAACGTCTGCAACACCAAGTCCAGGTAAAGAGCTCATCAAATGCCTTTATATAAAATAAGTTTTCGACTATTTAATGGCATTTGTTGGTTGTTGTACAGACCATTTCGTTTGAAAAGGAGGAATGGGAAGTATGGAAGGCACTAGGAAACTGATCTAACCTGAAATTGTGCTGTGCTTTCTTCTTTCTCGCCGTGATAGATAATATAGTTTACGCAAATTCAACTAAACCCAAATTTGGCAGGCAAAACTGCTACTTAAGTTTTTATATCTTAATTAGGCATCCCATAATTTATTTTTCGCTTATTTATTTATTTTATTTTTTTTCGCATAGCCTAGAAAGGATTATAAGTATATGGGATTTATTAATGAGGGTAATAGTTGACATTTTCCACAATCCTATGAGTATGACCTACGTTTTCGAGTGAGTTTCACATAACCTTGTTTCCAAATGGCATTCTGATTCAGGCAGGAGTGGACTGTAGTTTATGCCTTGCCTAGATTTTATCAGCACCCGCAGTGGGGCTCGAACTCTGGTACTGCGGCGTATGATCTCTGCACGTCGAC